AATATAATTTTATTATTTTAGTACCCAGAGTTGGAGCCAGGAAAGCCACAAACTTAGATCTCAATAGTTTAGATTCTAAAATTTAAAATTGTTTTTTTTTATTGGGGGTAGATTCTAAAATTTAAAATTGTTTTTTTTATTGGGGGGAATAATATTATTTTTATTTTTATTTTTTTTCCAAGGCAAGGTCATAGTTAGAACCATTTCTAGATTGTCGTGTTGTTGGGAATTGCATGTGTTTTGTTTATAAATATTTAAAAACAATTAAATAGTGTTTGGTTGAAGTATTTTGTTATGCTTTTGACATATAAAATGATTGATATGTATTAATTATAACATATTAGGAATATTCTAAAAGTATTTTTTATTTATATTACTAGTTTGGCACAAGATAGATAGTGTAGATGAACATCTCAACTTTGATTCGAGGAAGACACAATAACTATCCAAAAGCAGAAGAGAGGAGGCCATCGATTGCCGGAATATTAGAAAGGCTATCTTGGAGCACGAGGATGAAAATCCATTAATTGTTGACTTACGGTGGTTTTAAACAATCCAAAAAAATAAAAATAAATAAAAGAGGTTATGATTTCATTCATATTGTATGATTATAATAATTTAAAAAAATATATTTAATCTAAATAAAAAAAATTATATACAAGCTAAACCAAATAAAAAAATATTATTCTATTTTAATAATTAATACAAAATAACCATATATTTCTTAACACCTCCTCACAAACTCATTATGTGATAACTATAGACATCAAGAATTTATTAAGTAGAAAACAAAAACAAAAAATAGAATATGAAACAAGTCTATAATTTGCAAAGAATAAGAAACAAAAGGCAAGATATTGATGTCATACTTGAAATAATTATGAGTAAAATAATAATTAAATTCAATACATTTAGTTCGTTCATCAAAAATCAAGTTGTGAGTAATTTAAATAAAACTCTAGTTGTTATAATACATAGGAATCAAATGAAAAAGAAAAACTCTTATACATACAAGTAACCAATAAATCCAAACAATGCAACCCTTATATAAAGTTTGTTCTGATTATTAAAGGATGATTTAAAAGGCACTTTTGTATAGAAGTAGAAATAATTTTTTTTAAATAAAATTGAAAACATATTTTTTCATCCAATAACTCACTGACAACCGAGTCAAGAGAAGATAGTGAAGAACGATGCAAAATTAAACATTTAAGTCCTTTAAAATCACCATGAAGTATTGTTAAAAACTATACCAATCGTTGCTGCTATTTACAAGTAATATAAGCACTACATAATTTTAATTCTATAGATTTTATAAGAACTAATCAATCCTAAAGATTTATTATAGTAGAATAAAACTCGTGAATATTTATATTTTTTTAATGTAAAGCTTGTATGTCATTTTCTAATTGATATTACTTTACAAAATTTGATTGTGTGAATAATCTTTACAGATGATCTTAAACCTCTTCTATTGTCTCATATTTTGTCAATTGTGTACCTATGAAATATTCAATAAAATTACTAATTTAGGTAATAATTTTTACTTTGTTTACTTTGCAAGTATCTATCAAACACAGTATAACCCTCATCAGTATTTCAAGGTATTGCAAATTTTTCATTAACATATCCCCACATCTTTTTACCATTAATAAAATTTCTCATCACATAACTTTAATAATAATAATTCATTTCATCTAGCCTCGTAATCATAGACTGAAACAAACCATCTCTTTTAGTAGTTATAATCAACAAGTAAAGAAAATCAAAACGCAAAAGAAAGGAAAATAAAATATCAAATTGTAGAAACTGAGCAAATATCTTTTTGAAATTGGATTCATGAAAACTATATTTGAAATTAAATTTTATTCCATGAAATTATACTCTGATATCATCTTAGACAATCAAAAGAAACATAAAAAAATACAAAAATAAGAGAGGAGGATGCTAGTATTTCATTGATACTGCACTATTTCCAATATAAAAGAATAGGTTTAACCTAAATACAATAAAATTATATATTAAATAAATTTAAAAAATAAAAATATTATTTTATTCTTAATAAATAAAACAAAATAACTCTATATTTCTTAAAAATATATATATATATATAATCCCCAGCAAGCCACAAAATGATCGTCCACTGGTTTGTAAAGCTATGGACATGGCTGCATGCATGTGATTTGGCATTTTTTATAGACAACAGACGCATGTTATTTACTGCGTGTTTTTAGTATTATGTTCGCTTTTATCATTACAAGTAAACAAGAACAAGTTTAAGAAAAATTATAAATTTATTTTTTATTCAAACCCAAGTTCTCAGCGCAATTTAAAATGAAAACCAAAGTTGTCGTGTTTTCAACATGAACACACCACCACCACCGCACAACATTAATGCTAAACGCATCCATAAGAAGCAATGGAGGGAAGATCAGAACAATAAAACAAAGCCAGTGACTATATATATATATATCCTCTGGTATACATGCCGTGTTGCCTCTACGATATATATAAATTAATCCATCTTTGACCATCAAATCACATGCAAGAACATGCGTGCGTGTGGGAGAGGGAGCAAGAAGTCTGTGTGCTGCTGCTCTTAATCAACTGAGGATTTGTTAAATTGGAAAGTGATTAGTGTGTAAATGAGATTGAAAAGACGTTGGTGATCATCGAAAGAGGGCTCCTTTGTGCTGTTGGCTGTTGCCTTCATGATCACATGCTTTTCACTTTAAAACACTACAATTAATATGGTTTGATTTTCACTTTTGCAGAGATCTTGAGGATTAATTGCCCAAAGTAAAAGTTTCTGCAAACCTCTGTCTACATGTGAGCTAGCTCTTGTGAAAGCTACTTTCTCATTGCCATAATGCTCCTCACGACGCGTGCTGCCCTAACTATTTTCCAGAATTACTCCTTTCTTTTTCTTTTTCTTTTTCTTTTTTATCAACCCACCACACAATTTATACAGTGATCACAACGAGTGATACAGTGAATTTTGGATATATTTGTTCCTTCCAGAATTACTCCTTTCTTTTTCTTTTTTATCAACCTAGCACACAATTTATACAGTGATCACAACGAGAGATACAGTGAATTTTGGGATATATGTATTCGAGATCACAACAAGAATATGTATATGTTATTGTTTTTTTTTTATATATAACAGTATAAATTTACTTTAGAATTGTTTCAAAAACATATTTCTTTTATGTTTTTATTTTTATTTCTTTGATTAAACATGTTCCTTCAACAACATGCATGTTTCTTCACAGTACGCGATATTCTCAAATCAAATTACACGTTAACTAAGATTAGGTATTTTTCTTGAATGATCTTATATATATATATGTTAGCAAATGCATGTATTTACCAAACTAGCATGCATATATTGAGCTACTTATGACCTCAAATTGCCAAAATTTAAAATAAATAATATATAATTTTAAGAGATCGATTTAGGGTTTAAAGAAATATATTTCCATGTTTAATTCCTTTGATTTATATATACTCTGAAGCTAGCATCCTCCATGATAGATTGGCTGAATTTCTCCGAGTATACAAGGTCAACGAAAGAGTTACGTTTTTAAGATCGTTCTTGATGCATATACTGATCTAATATTGCTTTTAATTTAAATAAAAAATATATTTTTCCCATGAAAATAGAAAATAGTTCCAAGAAAATTTAATTATTTCGGGGGAGTTCGTTACAGCTATGACGCCCTCCCAGAACCAGAGTCAATCATGGTGAAAGAGTGGGGGCATGCTTTTCAATTTCAGGACAGGAGTGATTTGCGGCCTTAATCACAGTCATTGATTGTGATTAGTGTGATTAATTAGGAGAAGATTTGTGTTGACCCAACAAAAAAGAGATCTTAAATCAAAGTATCATCACCATTAATTCATTCTCCAAAGAGTAATTAATAATCTCCTAATAGTATCACCATGATTTTGCTTTTTTATTTTATTTTTTTAACTCAAAGGGATTGACTAATAATGATATAATTAACAAATTATATTTCATTCCACCTATGGCTTATTGAGTTGAAACCTTATATCCCGTTTATAAATCTTTTTATTTAAATCCATCTTTTTATACATTTTTGCCATGACCGGGTTTAATAACATATAAATTTTGCAAAGATGTATTTTTAAGTTCTTGAAAGTTTTATTCTTCAATAAAATCTTTTAGTGTAGAAGATACAATTACCATGAAGAAAATGGTTAGAATGTGCACAAATTCAGTGCAAAAACCAAAATAAGATAAAATTTCAAATCTCCAATAAACGGCTATGCACAAATATTTCCTTGATGAAAAAATAAAGGTTATATTACCATAAATAATACAAATGAGGATCTCAAATTTCTTTTTTATGGAGATTATTTTCTTAAAAATAATTTATCATAATCATTAAATGTTACATAAAATATTTTTTTTAAGATAAAATCAAGATATAAAAACAAAGAAAATGATCGAAGAAAAAGCTATTAGATAAACTTAGTTTATTACATCAATAAATATAATAAATAAAATTATTTGAAATACTTGTATTATTAAAAGGTTTTTTTTAGAGTGTAATAACAGTTATTTTTTAAAGTATTTTTATTTAAAAAATATTTAAAAAATATTTTTTTATTTTTTAAAATTTATTTTTAATATTAGTATATTAAAATATTTTAAAATACTAAAAATAATTAATTTAAAATAAAAAAATAAATTTTAATAAAAAATAAGTTAATACCAAATATTGATAGAGATTATTTAAAAAAAAATTATCATAATTTCTAAGTTACATAAATTTTTTGTTTTTAAGATGCAAGAGAAGGATTGAAAAAGTGAGGTAAACTTAGTCTATGTGTATCAAGTAAATATATATAAAAAAATATTTAAAATATTATATTATCAAGTGAAAAAAAATATTATATTCGATATTTTGACCTAATAATCTTTATAATTATGAAAGAAAAAAACATGATCCAATGTAAGTAGCAATGAAAGAGACAAAAGAGAATCCTTGTTTGGAGGGAGCTTTCCATATGTTTCAACTTTCCTTTTCTTCCCATCTCATGTCCAAATTATGCCCAAAGAAAAGGTGAGAGAAGAGAGACAAGAGAGAAGACACGAACGACTCTCAAAAGATTCAATTCAACGTTCAAGACGTCATTTGGGGCGCCAACTGAGAGAAATCCAAACCCTAGTGAGAGAAAGAGAGTTTTCATAGAGAAAAGAGAAGAAAGAGAGAGTCTTGAGGTTATCTCACCACCCCTTCACTGCATCATCATGTGTGTGTACAAGTAATTAGTCAAAGAAAAACTCTTGTCAGATCTACACTCCTCACTCCAACCTTCCAAAAGCACACAAAAGTTTAAGAAAAAAGGTGTCTTTTTTCTGCGTTTTCACCATTCTTTCATTGCTTGTAAAATGTTCCTCGCTCAAATGATTGATATGGAGGTGCATGATTGAAGAAATGGGAATGCGGGTCTAATTCAAAATTGATTCTTTTTAATTTGATTGCGAGTGTGTGTTTGGTTGCTCGAATAATTTTGAAAAAGAAAATGTCAGAAATGAGATTTTCTGATCCAAGCAGACTTCATTTAAAGAAGGAGCTTACTCAAATCAGAAAGGCAGCTAGAGTTTTGAGAGATCCAGGAACAAGTTCTTCATGGAAGTCACCTCTTAATTCAGCTAGATCTGCAGCGACAATGGCGGCGGCGGCTTCTACTTCTGCTTCTGCTTGGAAGCATTTTGAGACTGAGAATGCAATCCAAAATGGTGGTGGTGGTGGTGGTAGTCATAATAACAATAGCGCCCATTTGGATTCGCATTTCAAGAGTGGGAATAATCATGGAAAAGACAAAAGAGTGTTCCTTTACAATTGGAAGTCTCAGAAATCTTCCAGTGAGAAGAGTGCATTGGCAAGGAATGATGCTGATGATGACTACGAGTCTCGTTCTATTCAAGGGAGCCTCGATGACAGCCTGAGTGATGCAAGAAATGCTGGGGATTCGAAGAGTGACACTTATTTGGGTGAGACAAGGTCTGCTGCAATGATTTTCAGGTGTAGAGATGCAAATCTCGTGTCACCGTCTATGAGAAGAGCTATGGGGATCAAGAAAAAGGGTAAGAAAACTAATGCCCGTTTCGATGTTTTGTCTAGATATCAACAAAAAGAGATGAACTTGAGGAGATTACTCAAGGGCCATCCTTCATTGGGCTTAGGTTTAGGTTTAGGAAGGGATGATGTTGTAGAGCAATCTGATGATACTGAAGAATATAGCAATTCAGAGTACTTAAGAAAGATTTCTGGGGCTTCCCCATTGCTGTTAAAACTTAAGCATATGAATCGGTCACATTCTCCATCAAAATTTTTGAGAACGACTCGAAAAGAGGACTCTTCTTATTCTCACAGCACACCTGCACTATCAGCTAGTTCTTATGATAGGTATCGTAAGCGCAATCCGAGCAATGTTGGATCTTGGGATGCCACCACAACCTCAGTGAATGATGGGGATGACGAGGATGATGATCATTTAGATTTACCTGGTCGCCAGGGATGTGGCATTCCTTGCTACTGGTCCAAACGGACGCCAAGATACAGAGGTGTATGTGGGAGTAGTTGTTGCTCACCTTCCCTTTCGGATACTTTAAGGAGAAAAGGAAGTAGCATGTTCTGTGGTAGTCAGTCACTGTATCATAGACGCCGACGTTCATGGTCAATTTCAAATAAGCGCAGAATTGGTTCAAGAACTGGACATGCATTGCTCCCATTGCTTACAAATAGTGGTGATGGCATAGGAGGGTCATCAATAGGAACTGGGCTTAGTGATGATGAGCTTTCTACAAACTATGGGGAACTTGATTTAGAGGCCTTGAGTAGATTGGATGGGAGGAGGTGGTCAAGTTGCAGGAGTCAGGATGGGTTGGAGATTGTGGCTTTAAATGGAGACGGAGAAGAGGAAGGCACACCTGAAAATATTGGAAGCTTAAGCCAGAAATACAAGCCAGTTTTCTTCAGTGAATTGATTGGGCAAAACATTGTTGTTCAATCACTTACCAATGCTATTTCTAGGGGAAGGATAGCACCAGTTTATCTTTTCCAAGGTCCACGTGGTATTGGTAAAACATCAGCAGCTAGGATTTTTGCCTCTGCCTTAAACTGCAAGTCTGCGGAAGAAATAAAACCATGTGGGTACTGTAGGGAATGCAGTGATTCCATTTCTGGGAAGACCAGGGATCTATGGGAAGTTGATGGCACTGACAAGAAGGGAATTGATAAAGTTAGATACCTTCTGAAGAAAATTTCGCATAGGCCCCCATTGGGCTCTTCACATTACAAGGTTTTTCTTATCGATGAGTGTCACTTGTTACCCTCTAAGATGTGGTTAGCATTTCTCAAGTTTCTTGAAGAACCACCACAGCGAGTTGTGTTCATATTTGTAACAACTGATCCTGATAATGTGCCCCGTACTGTACAATCACGATGTCAGAAGTACCTCTTCAACAAAATTAAAGATGGAGATATTGTAGCAAGACTGAGGAAAATTTCTAAAGAAGAGAATCTTGATGTTGAATTAGGTGCCCTGGATTTGATTGCTTTGAATGCAGATGGTTCACTTCGAGATGCTGAAACAATGTTAGACCAGTTGAGTTTGCTGGGGAAGAAGATAACATCGTCTCTTGTAAATGAATTGGTGAGTTCTGTCTACTGATGTGTCCTTTAACATTTTCTGCTTCAATCGGTTCACTTAGATTATTTTCAAATCTTGTTGGGAGAAGCCTAATTGGTGAATCATTAATAAGTATCATATAACTAGGTGAACAATACTTGTGAATTTCTGTTTAATGTATACTGAATTGTTTTTGAACTCGAATATGTACTTTCAACCATTTCAGGTGGGGGTTGTTTCAGATGAGAAATTACTGGAACTTTTGGAACTAGCGATGTCTTCAGACACTGCAGAAACAGTAAAAAGGGCCAGGGATTTGATGGACTCTGGCGTTGATCCAATGGTTTTGATGTCTCAACTGGCTAGCCTCATTATGGACATTATTGCTGGGACATACAATGTTGTTGATGCCAAACATGGAGATTCACTCTTTGGTACACACAACTGTGAGTAGCGGTTCCTTGCTCTTATACTGTGACCTTACAGCTCCCCCTTCTGCATATAAAAACTATGCATAGACTTATGAACCTTTTTTGTTTTTATCTTGAGCCAATAGATTGTATTGATCAGCAGCCAAACTGATTTCCTTGTGGTTGCAAAACAACCACAGGCTCCTTATGTTCCTTTTTCTTCTTGGGAAAACCTCCCTGAGATAGACAAAAACTAGAGCAAATACATGCTCAGGGAAGAATCAGTTAATTGCTTTTCAGATTAGATTTAGCTCAACTTTAATATGGTAATACTTGATGTACCTGCTTTAATGGCCTTTTTTTTATGTTCCTAGCTCATTTATTTGGACGCTAGCCTTTAGATTCACCTTCTCTGACTTTGATGCTCAATTTTACCATTTATTATATAGTATGAAGATCATATATATTTACAAACATGTGTATATTGGAATTCTAATTTTTCCTCAGAATGTTGTTAATCATTATGGATACTTCATTTGGTTTTTTAGTGACTGAAGCAGAACTGGAGAGACTAAAGCATGCTTTGAGGCTTCTTTCAGAGGCTGAGAAACAGCTAAGGATCTCAAGTGACCGCTCAACATGGTTCACAGCAACTCTTCTACAGCTTGGTTCTACACCTTCAATGGATCTCACTCAGTCAAGCAGCAGTAGGAGGCAGAGCTCCAGGACAACGGAGGAAGATCCTTCAAGTGCTTCAAAGGAATCCAACGTTTACAAGACAAAGTCCAATGCTCAATATTTGACTCGGAGATCAAGTTCACCTCCATCCCTATACAGGGAAATAAATGGATATTCCAGCCAACAAGGGGAATATGGTTTTAATGGCAAGCCCCCTCGTAGTCGATTGGTGAATAGCCGTACTTCATCTACTTCATTGGATGATGAAATAACTGGAAATATGATATTTAGATACAAAAACTCAGAGAAGTTGGATGATATATGGGAGAAATGTATTGAAAAGTGTCACTCACAGACACTGAGGCAGCTGCTGCATGCTCACGGAAAGCTTCTATCTATATCTGAAGTGGATGGTAAGTCCAACACTTTTCTATTTCATTTCCAATATCATTTTCTGGTAGAACTGTAACTGGAAATCATGATAAAAGAAAGAATACAACTTAAATACAAAAATTGTTTCCCTTGTTGATTTTACCTTCCATTTGATGTGGTTGCATATAGATCTATATCTGATCAACCATACATTACTCCCAATGTGCTTCTAGTGATTCTTGAGGACTTGATATGTGGGATAGAGATTCTAGATCTGTTGCCTATATGATCAAAATTAGTTATTTTTCTTTTGCCGGATGGCTGATCTGGTGAATGATGCTTCTTAGGCAAGTTGTGTGCTAGACAGTGAGGTAATGTGCTCAATTTGCAAAAACAAAGATATTTTTCTCCTCTGCTTGCTCTTTAAGTTTTTCCGTGAACCATAAGAGCATCTCATATTCGCTTGATCCTGGCAATCCTAATAAAACTGATTGTTAAATCCATATTTGAATCGTGAATTGGAAACCCATATTTGTGGTCGTGAATTGCAAGGTTCAGTAACAAATGAAAATAACATTATAAAAGCTATATAACAAGATATATAACAAGAAATATATTTCATAAACAAAAGAGAAATGATAATTTACTTAACAAAATGTGTGCCTATTCATTTACTTTAGTAGTTTTAAGTCACTTAATATCCCAAAGTCGCAAAATTCAACATATTTTTCTTTGTTACCTGATCCTTCTAATGACTCAATAACTTGTAAAATATATAAAAGCTATCTTCAAACTAGTTAAACTACTTGATCTCCTAGTTTTAATAAAAAGTATTAATCTTCCCTGATATTGACATCACCATTGCCATTCTTGATGTCTTTGGCACTCATGCTTTCATTCACCTTTTTCATTCTTTGTGAAAATTTACTTCATCATTTGTTGTAAATGGAATCACAGAAGAATGATCGCATCAATTCCTAATCTACCTTTATTTCATCATTGCCTTCTCTGTTTCTGAGTAGCTCCCGGGTTACAACTGTCCTTGTGAGTATTCAATATATAGCTGCCTACCACTCCACAATTCCTGCTTCATAACCTGCTTGTTTGGATGGATTGGGTTGTTCTTCACTCATTTTGCTTATAATTTTCTTCCTTGTAATGCAAAATTGATTTGATGTGACCAATGTTTATACCAGATTTTGATTGGCAAGTGTTAAGTACCAGTTAAATAAAAACACAATGGATGAAGTGAAAAAGTTACTTAAGCTGTGCATGAGACAAAAGTTATTTAAATTGGCAGAATGGAATATTTTCTGCAACTGGTGAAAATAACAATCGGGTGGATTGTTTTGATGTTTAAATTCCAATTCATCCTCGATAAATGAGTGATCTGTCTCTCTGCATGGATGTACATGTGGATGAATGTCTCTCTCTCTCTCTCTCTCTCTCTCTCTGTGCCTTCATATCTTGTGTGATATGCTTCTGCTTACAGGAGCCCTTGCTGTTTATGTTGCATTTGAGGACCAAGATATTAAAGCCAGAGCTGAAAGGTTTTTGAGCAGTATCACAAATTCAATTGAAATAGTCCTTAGACGCAATGTAGAGGTTAGAATTATTCTTATCACAGATGGTCTGGATTCTGTGATTTATGCAAATCAATCTGAGTTACAAGAAGGTCATAGGCAAGCAGACACTACGTTGGCAATTGAGCTGGGAAAGAAGGCTAATTGCTCTGGTGCAGTAGCTGGTTATTCCAATTTGGACTTGCAAGAGGAGTTCCCAAAACAATCCAAAGGAAGCTTTAATGATGCCAATGCTGAAAACAATGGAGAGAGGAAGCAGGAAATGCCAATGCAGAGAATAGAATCCATTATCCGTGAACAGAGGTTAGAAACTGCCTGGTTACAGGCGGCAGAGAAGGGCACTCCGGGATCATTGAGCTGTTTGAAACCCGAGAAGAATCAGGTGTTGCCTCAAGATGACACCTATCAACAAAGTCAAATAGATTCCATAGGTTCAGTGGCACCATCCTCCCAGACATGGGGAGATGAATTAAATCATGAACTCAAAGTATTGAAGATGCAGAATCGGAGGGTTCACCATAAGGACCAGATTGGCCATATGGTGGACCATTATCCAATATCACCAAGCTTATTGCATGGAAGTAGCTATGTGATCAATGGAAGCAAAGAAAGCCTGTGAGTCTTTTTCAGATCTCCTTTTGATTTTCCATGACTTTAGATTATTTTTACTAATTCTTTACCATATTTGCATGCATCTTTTAAAATTTTGCTAGCAGTTAACCTATTTGCATTTTTTCAGTTAAGCAGGCTAGTTTCTCTTGTTCTTCGTAGAGCTTTTACTGCATTTCAAAATCTAATCTGAAGAATATGCTAGTTGATATTTTTTTCATGGATAAAACTCACAATATTCATAGGCTCTGTATCAAAATAATGTAAAATTTGAGGATAAAAGAAATTAGCAATATATATAGAATGGTGCTGCTCGTCATAGATTACTTTTCAATACTTGTCTTCCCTCAAGAAGTTTGAATCAATGGAGAGATTTTAGAGATTATTTTAAGATTACTATAACTTATAAAAGCTTGAACTTGTTAACGAGATTCATCTTAACCTACCCTAACTGGTTCAAATAGAGGCTTAGTGGGGGGGTGTTTGTAGTGGTAATTAAATATTTTGTAAATTGCATTCTTTTCAAGTGACCAAAATGATCATTTTAAGACTGTCTTAAAGATAGCAGTGAGACAGTGGGTTTGCATCTCTATTGGACAAGTGATTGCTGTTTGTCTTTCTTCCTCCATCATCAGTATGTTTACATGGTTTTCGATGGTCATCTTTTTTGCCTGAATTGTGGAATACAGTGTCATAGAGAAGGAAGTGGGAGTGAATCAGGTTAAGCTCTATGTTGTGATGCATCAAAATTAATGTGTTGCGTAACTCTCAAACTCTTTACCTTTTTCTTTAGGGGATACGAGTCAAGTTCGGCTGGTGGAGGTTGCAGTGGGCTTTTATGTTGGCACACCAGCAAATCTAATAGAGGAAAGGTAAACCGATTTCAACCTGTTTTTTTTTTTTATTATTATTACAGTATAGCAGTGCCCAATTGATCTAGCACTTATTACCATTATCTTTTTGTTTAGTAAAAGGGTGTTTGCCCCTCATTGATCATGCTTTATTTCTGCACTTAAATAGGCGAAAGGTACTCCAGTTCAACCTCGAGGCAGAAGTGGGCGATTTTCATTGTTTGGTGAGTGTGCAAAGCAAAAGAAACCGGATAGCAGAAATACAAGATAACTGAGACATTTCGAATACATTCCCTGCTAGTAAAAGATGGTCTTTGGAACTTCACATTTTTCTGTATTTATTCATTCCGGGTCCAAGTCATTCTTACGGATGCAACCACAGAAAATATCTAATTTAAAGGTTTTGCTCTTGACGAGGGGCATATGTTTAGCTCCATCTATTTTTCTTTGCCCAACGGTGAATAAAGAAACTTGGGATGTTCGTCATGGTTTCTTGTTATTTGATGCAAATTATATTTCCCTTTCACTTTGCTTCTCGTTGTTTTAGTTGTCATGCAGTTACCAAACTCACCATGTTTTAGTTGTCATGCAGTTACCAAACTCTGGTAGTGTGATTGATAGAAGGGTTTCATTTTCCCAGGAAGTGTTCAGGGCACAAAAGAGGAGAGGTAACACCCTTCAACAGCTACAGCAACCTGGCAACTTTTCGTGCTACTCAGGCGACTGCAACCATTGAAATCCTGGGAATTCTTAAAAGAGTTACTGATGAGTTTTACATGGTTGTGAATTGTGATCGACACCACGCATGTCCATGTTATACAAAATAGAAATCAACTATACTCGAAATAAAAGAGTCGAAAATTGGCTCACTGCAGCTCATGATACTGATTATGTGTTAAAAATGAGCCTAACTAAAAACCATCTTTTGCTGGCTAAACAATGGTTTTGTTAAGCCAAAATTTCTCAGATTGCCTCCACCAAAATTCAGGTGAAGCTGAAATTTGAAATTGAAATTTAAGTATATTATTGTGTCCTACAAGAAAAATACGAAAGGAAAACAAGGTTCACTCCGATAACTCAAGAGCTCGTGCTTAAAATTCTCTCTGCTAGCAACAAATCATCAGGGGTTGTGACCTGCAAGTCAAGGGGTTTTAGTGTGGGTTTGTAATTGAAACAAAACTACTCTTATTCTGTAAGCATAAAAGAAAATTGACTGAAGTGCAGAGAAGAAACATATTTACAGTCTTTCATGCTAAGGTTCACAGAGTATATTTTTTCAATACCTTGATGTTTGTGTATGATCCTTCAGTGATGTATACTGGATGCTTAAGGTGCTCAACAATAGATACATCATCGGTGACTTCAAGACCCTCTCTGCACAATTACTAATGTCAGAATCCAACTCCTATGTGGAATCAGTAGAGAAAATTGATAATCTTGAATAAAGATGGTTCTCAAGGGTAGCATTTTCCACACAGAAGAATGCCTATTGCATGCAGCACGAGTAAAGAGATTAGGTGCTTAATAAGCCTTGTGCAACTAGTGTCCAATGAAAACAAAAGCAATGAAGTCAGTGTGAATGAGAAGCCAGAAAAGCCTCGTCTCCAAGGAATCATGGTATAGCAAGTCATATTCTTACAAAGCAGCTCTGGGGAAGAGGAAAGCCACAGTTGGTCTTTTTCAGATGATTTCTTCCTCTAGAGAGAGACAAGAAAGTGGTTCAATTTCATTATACAGAATGCATACTCACTATTAATAGGAAAATTTCTTACTAGGTATTGGTCACCAAACCAGCATTAGGGTGAATTACATGGACCAAAATTTTCAATAATTACACCAGTCCTCTCTCTTGTTTCTGAAATTTCAGCAATAGAAAGACCTCAAATTTTCAGCACCCACAGAATTTATTGATGAGAAAATGACACGGCCAAGTTTAGTCAGTATAGCTTATCTTAATATTAATGCAAGGCCGATTCAAATTTCAGGAGGACCAATATACTCTCCAAATCCATCCCCATTATAAATTCCTTGGAAACACCAGATCCCACTTGACTGAGCCCTCTGGCTATTAGCTATGAACAAAAACACAGAAACCACTTCTCGGAAATATGTTTCAACTATTCAATAGCTGACAAGTTTTTATTTGCCCCTCACAAAAACTCAAGCAGTCAGGTTTTTAAAACCTCAAAATATGAACCACCATTAAAGGAAATTTTCCTTTCTGACCACATTATGTTTACAAAAATAACATTGGTGTCCAACTCAGATGCCTATCTGTTGTTGTCAGATAATAGGGTATGTAAAAGTTCATTCAAGTTCTGCTGATAGATCCTGGGTCATAGAGGCAGCTTGATGTGAAATACTATTCCAAATTCGTTTATAGAGGCATTCCAAATTCGTTTATGCAATATCAACATATTGAAGGATAAAAGAGCTCCAGGGTAACATTTACTAGAGAAATCTATAGCAACTAATAATGCTTACCTGTTCACCAGCTCAAAGCCTTTCTTAAGCAACTCGGGTTTCATCACCTGTACAATAAGAATTATATGCAGTTAGATAAATTAGCATTCAAGTACTATTTTTGAGGAAGTAGAAAAAAAAATGATGATAAATTATAAATCCTTTAACCTGCGGGGTCTGCATTTCCCAAAGTGTTTTGCGGTCAAGAGTTCTCACTACAAAAGATTCACCATCTGCCTGCATAGAAATTAGTTAACAGATTATAAATTCTGTTAGATGTTAGGATTTATAATGCATGGATATCTAATTAATGGCATTTTAGTCAAGAGATCAAGGAAGCTAAGGAAAGTTATAAAAGCTGTTATGAGGCAGTAAGGATAATAAGGCAACAATATTAAGTAATGAATTCTTTTCAAATAAACTCTTTTCCAGAGCAATGAAAAGAATTTACACAAATAACAAAGTTGATACATGCATGATCTTCTATTTAATCAATTTCACAAAGAAGTACACTTGGACAGAATGAAAATTATTGAAGAAAATAAAACAAATAAATTCCTGTTTAGCTGTTCTTAGAAAGCTACATGAATGGCAGGAACATAAAGCTCAAATCTCTCAGTATTTATTGAAGTTATCAAATAAGAATGCACCCCAAACCAGTCATGCAAGAGTGAAAAAAAAGAAGAGAAAAACCAGACAACAACTATTTATGACCAATCAGCATTATTTCACATGATGCCTATAATATTCTTAGCTATTCTCAATCATTTCACGCCTCAAATATTTTAGTTCCTGTGCACACACAGCATATGAAAAAAGGTTCAATGCACACACAAGTAACTTCCAAAGAATATTATGTACCTCCTTGATTGTAGCTTTAACAGGAACACCAAGTACAGCAGCTCCATTTATCCAACCATCTTTAAGGACCTAGGCACAAGCAATTACCGTTTACTTGGATAGTCATTATCTAAAATGAAGTAAAAGTAGTAAAATCCACAGTTGATGCATTCACATTAAGTATTTCAATCCAACCTTTTCCACATCTTCTGACAATACCAGAGGCCTTGCCGAGTCATGGATGCAGACAAGCTCGGAATTCAAATCAACTTCCTGTGTAGAAAGTGGTATGCTATGTTTATAGATCGGACATTTCCAAACACTAACATGAATTATTGACTGATTGTAATCACAAACTTTACAGTGAGACACACCAAAGACAAGTAAATTGCTCTCATGCAGTGAAGCAACTTCAAGGAAACTCACAAGTAGCTTAGATATGAAAGGCATCATAGTGAAGAAGGCTATCCTAAAAAAGACATGTTAAGGTATCTTAGCAGGGGAATCTTATTATATTTTAAATGAAATATGAGATATGTTTTGCCAGGGTACTAGCAACACCACCCTCACCCTCTTCTAGAGAGATTAGCAACTCTTGTAGAGCTTCCCCGTCTCTACTAGTTGTTTGTATTAGATATTAGCAACCATGCTCTTCTGATCAGAATTATTTGAGCATATTTCTGAAAGCACACCAAAAAACCCAAGAAAGTATTAAATTTGCTTTAAAAACCATCCCGTAACAGTACACAACTGATAAAAAAATCAAGCATGGTATCGAAAACACATGAACTTCTCAACCAAAACAGATTGAGGCAGCACCTGAAGCCCACTGTATACAGAATCTTGTCTCTCCTTTCCTGGCAGTGCAAATTTAAGGTCTACATTGATCTGTTCTTGAGAATCTGAGAAAACAATAAAAAACTAGTTTGAATCTCCTAATATAAAAAAGTTTATCAACAACCCAATCAGAATCCATTTCCTGCAAAGGTAGGAAGACACACAGAGAGAGAGAGAGAGAGAGAGATCTGGAACCTTCAAAAATGTCCTTGTAGGATGGATCACAAACTACAATAATTTCTTTCACTTCATCCATTTCTGAGAAAGTGTACAAACTGCCAAAATATCATGCAGACATTTTCAGTAGGCATATGTTGCTTACATGCCAAACCTAGACTTGGTGAGCTGAGCTATGAAACCTTTTAACCAAAAATAACAGAAATAAACCCGGTCAAATTCAGGATACTCAAACTAAATAACCATTCATGATAATTTCAAATGACCATAGGGTGATTTGCAATTGCATGGTATGTTACAGTCTGTCTTGAATGTGTTGGGGAAGTAAACAAACCATACCATTGCCTTCAATTATTTCCACACAGATGCGACCTTACATCCAAACCTTTTAATTATAACATGCTAATATTTCTCGCTGTCACAAAACATAAGATGCTAAGTTTCCAAGATTCTGGCAGCATGATTAAAAGCTTCGACAGTGGTAAGGGGAGAAAAAAATAGTTGAAAAAAGTTGTTGTCATTTACCTATACAAAGCAATAGGTTGGCCAAGAAGTGGTAGATACTGCTTTGGCATGTTTGCCTAATCGCAAAAAGATAATAAAACCATCATCTGGAAGATAAAAAAAAACTATAGACAATGAACGAAATTAAAAGCAACTTGTAGATGTCAGAGAAAGAACTTATGAACTTAAATATGTAATAACAGATACTGAAAAAAAAAAACACAAATGCAAACCTAAAATCAAACAAAACAATGGTGGCATAGTTAACTCAGAAACGCATGCATTCCAAAACCTGAAAACCAATCGGTCAGAAAAATCCCATCAAGAATTTCCAAGGTAGGCTTATGACTATCATTGTTGGAAATAGAGAATTCAATACAAAGCAGAGCAGAATGGGTTATTATGCAAGGTCATGCAAACAATTATGTACCCTGAAGTGTGTTTGGTCTCATTTATGTTTTAAATGTTAAGAAACTATCAAACTCTAGTGTATTTACACTTTATATCTCTTTTTTTTCTTTATCCTCTTTTTAATCAATATGCAAATTAATTATATGTTCAGTATGTCCTTGATTTCCACATAATGCATTATTATTGTTACCATTTAAAGAAATGTTAATTGCTATATGGAAAAGTAACACTGTGATGACAGTAACACAGAAAGCCAGTTATGATGATTAGCCACATGAATCATAGAGCACTGGA